GATGCATGTCATCCGACGAAGTGGGCATTCACCCACGAAAGCTTATGCTCCAATACATCTCTTAGTCTTAAAGGTGCCACACGACTCTCTAAACCTTTAGTTAGTTCATGATAGGATTGGCTACAAGCTTTGTCTTTGTTTTGAGATTTGAGATACAATTAATTGACTAGGGATAAGTGACTGATCCTTTGGGACTGGGAGTAACCTGAATATTGTGATGTTTGGTGTAAAGGACCGTCTATCACAAAGGCAGGCTTGCCTCGGTGTCAAGATAGACCAGAGTGCCCAAGGTGGACTGTCTGTGACTCCATGGTAAGACTGTTATAGAGCTTTAGGAGTTCACACTTGTTACTTGGTTGGTGAAACCTAATTACAGAACACACACATTTGGTATTTGTGCCCTTCTTCTAGACAGTCTGCCCTGAGGTGGGCACTCCTGGTCATTAGCCACTCTAGACAGCTTGACAATCAGCACCTAGTTCTTATATAGCACTGAACTTGAAATTATTTGGACAAATACAAAGAATGCATCTGGCTTGGAATGGGGGATATGCCAAAGAAGTACTTTCCATCTTTGAATCCCTAGGGACACCAGGGAAATCAAAGCATACATTCTGCTGGGTTTGGGTTTCTGATGTTTGTTCTTGCACCTCATTCTTCATCCAAAGCAAGTTGGCACATTCAGTAACAACCTGCATGACTGAAACTATTGCTGAAGACATTCAGTAACATTTTTGAGGTGGCACAATTAGAAGTTTACTTTTATCTCCAAAAAAACAAAAATAACCTACAACCTAATTCAGCCAGCTAGCAGAGAAATTGACATCAATCAGGGTATGTCTACACAGGGTTAAAAGACCTGCAGCACGGCTGCAGCTGGCCTGAATCAGTAGACTCATGCTCACAGGGCTTGGGCTGCAGGGCTAAAAATTGCTATTTTGACATGCAGGCTCAGACTGGGCCTGAGCTCTGAGACAATAGGTGCCAACTCCGTGGATGCTCCAAAAATAGTGGGTGCTCAGCGCCACCAGCTGTAGCTGTTTGGCGGCAGCTGCCGATCAGCTGTTTGGCCGCTGGGGGAGGCACTTGGGGGAGGGTGGAGAGCAGCGAGCGGTCGGCAGGCAGAGCCTCAGGGGAGGGGTTGGAGTGGGGCCAGGAAAAGGTGGATCGAGGGCTGGGTCTCAGGGGAGGGGGTGGGGCCTTGGGGCGGAGCATCCCCGGGGAAAAATAAAACTCGGTGCCTATATCTGGGACCTTCCACCCTCGCAGGGTCTCAGAGCTCGGGCTCCAGCCCAAGCCCGAGTGTCTACACAGCAATTTTTCAGCCCTGGAGACCAAACTCTGTGAGCCTGAGTCAGCTGAACCAGGGAAGCCACAGGTTTTTTATCCCTGTATAGATATACCCCATCAAGTCAACCTTGGCTTCTAACTTCCCTCAGTTTGCCTTTTTTGTATATTTGTATGAGCATAAAACATGACAAGCATTCCTTAAAAAAGAAATCCAGAGAATTTCTAACTCGATGGTGACATGACAGGAACTCAACGTTCTAAAGCCTTCAAGTATCCTTTTGAAAGGCAGCCTTTTTTGTTAATAGAATACATTGGAGATAGATGCCTTAAGCTGTAACTTTGCTACAATATCCATAAAAGCTTTTTTTTTTAATAAAGGAAAACAGACTTTTGAGAAAAGTCAGAATAGTGGTGTAAACTTCCAAAGGAAATCATAATTCTTCTTAAAGTATTCTTCTCAGCCAGCTTGGAAAATTGACAAATGCATAGAAATCCAGTAAAAATTTCCCCAAAATGTATACACTTGTCAAATATTATGACTCACTGTGTCATGCTGAAAGCACCACTATCAAAATTAGGAGGATTTCAGGCTTGGTACCAAACACAGCATCCAACTAATTTATCATTGTTCACAGAAAACTTGGAATGTTTTAGGCTCCTTCCTGTTACTTATTTTTTCTCATCTCTCTTGCATTTCAGATTTCAACATTTCCAGATTTCTCTTGGGAATGTCGTGGAACCCAGACAACCTCATCTTGGGGAAGAAAATTCCTGTTGATAATTGAATGGGCTTCACCGATGTTTACTGAATGGCAGACAGCATGGTAGGGAAAGAAAACACTTTTTAAATAGCGATACTCAAGGCAAGAGCTAAACACAAAAAACTTTGTTTCCTTCAGTTACAAAATATTTTGAGCAAAAATCTGTCCTCAAACATGGGTATGTAACATTCAGTGGCCATCTGATTGCATGTTTTTGAGGGGAAAATCTGGCCCTTTTACTTCTGTGCGTGGCTTTGGGCTCCTAGTTGTAGCAATTAAAGGTCTATTCCAAGTTTTTCTCTGAATAGCAGTATTGGGTTCAAAATGATACTTCCAAATATTGTCATTTTGTTAATTATTTGCACACAGGCTATGCTGGGCTCTAGAGGCATTAAACAGCTTTTTAAAATTTTATCAAAAGTATTTTATATAGAGGGCATTCCACCACATTAAAGCTATGGCTACACTAACAGCAGCATGTAGAATACATACACTGTATCTTCCCTGCCCCCCAGCATAGGTATAAATAGCAGTGTATATGGTGAGGCACTGCTTAAGTGAGGAGCGTCAACACATGCCAGAACCCTACACAGTTCTCTACATGCCCAAGCAGTGCCTCCCAAATCTACACAGCTATTTTTAGCTCCCCGCTGCCTCCCCACTTCCAAAGGCTTTCCCCACCACTGGAGTCTTTTGCTGCGGCATGTAGCTACACACTACAATGCAGATGCAGCCTGCCTTTCACTGTGGCATGCAGCGACACGTACCTTACACGCCGCCACCAGTATAGACAAGACCTAAGAAATGCACACACCACTGGCAAGACCTTCCTAACCACCAACATCATCCTCCACACCAACCTCCCCTATGCAACTCCTCCCTAAGTACGTACAGGTAAAAACACCTGACATACATACATAAAACCAAAATTTTCGTTACTCGCCCAACCAAAACAAAATCCACACTGTACATCCCAATCCTCTCCTTTCACCAAAGTCTGCAAGAATGGACAGGCTTTGCAGCACACCCTGCTGGTCAGCCGAATAGGGTTATGTCAGACCGTGAAGGAGAAGTGAGTTGAGAGTCTCACTGAAAGCCACCTGAGCCATCAGCCCTTTCCTTTCTAAACTGGTGGAGGCATTAGCTCAGGTCCTCTAGCAGGTCTAAAGTGCTGTGGCAGGATTCAAGGACAGGATGTCTATTAAGGTAGGCAGGTACCCAGGTATTACATTACATGCATTAAATGCATTACATTTAAGATTCTGTATTGCACATAGAAACAGATTGGTAACTAGTGCAGATCATAGCATACCAGAGGCCG